CAGGGAGAATGCTCATGGCATTTGGCTCTGCTTTGGCCCAGCTGTGTGCACAGCAGCAAGGGCTTTCCAGTGAGCTGTGGGAAGGGTGGTACTGAAGAGCCAGTCCACAGGCAAGGTCAGATAAAACAAGCTGGTGCTGGCAAGGGCCAGCTGCAGAGGAAGCAAGCCAAAGGCTGCACATACATGTTCCTGAAGAAGTGGCATGAGAATCATGCCCTGGGAAATCATGCCTCTACAGGGCACGGATCCACAGGTGTGTGGATTCAGAATCAAGTGCAAGGAGGCTGTTATACCAGCCAATAAAATAGAGAAATGGGGTGGGGGCTCAGGCTGAATTAAGTTTCTAATGGAAACTGTATTAGCATTTAATTAAAAGTAAATAGCAAAAATCAACTCCAATCGTCTCCAACCTATGTGCAAATTTACTGTAAATGGAAAAACTCAAGGTGTTGAATGCTTCTTAGGGACAAGTTCCATCATACAGCACAACTGCAATGGAGACTAGGGTATGAGAGATGTCAAAACTGTAGAAGAATTTTCAAGGACAGCAGCAGGCACAAAGCAGAACTAGTCTGGACCTATAATACAAACTGTCCTGTTGATCCACAGAAGTGGACCTCCTCAAGTCCACTGGAGACCCAAATGTCATGAATGAGTCCCAAATGTACACTGAATTTTTTTTATATTGTTGGATTTTGCTTTTATTTTGCTTTGTTCCACCTGTGCCCTAGTCCTTCCCTCTTAGGAGAACAAATACATAACCCTGTTTTTATTTTATAAGCCTACTCAGCTAGAAGACTGGATCTTGAGAGAGAACCTGAGCTTCTAAATGGTTGGATTTTTTTGTTTGTTTGTTTTTGTTTTTAGAGAGGGTTTCTCTGTGTAATAGCTCAGGCTATCCTGGAACTCACTCGGCCTCGACTCACCAAGATCTGTCTGTCTCTGCCTTCTGAGCACTGGGATTAAAGGTGTGAGACTGCAGTACTTTTAAAGTTATACTTTACTTTATATTCTGATACTAACATGATCTCAGGTACAAAAACGGGAGAAAGGGTTATGATTTAACAGTGATGCATGTGTGTGTTGATTTGACAAGGAGTAGACATGTGATAGGTAATCTTGGTTATCAACCTGACACATGTGGGAAGAAGAAACCTATGTTGAGGAATTGCTTCCATCACACTGACCAGTAGCCACATCTGTGGGGCACTGAGCACTAACTGAGCCCAGGGTACCACTGTGGGCGGTACCATCCTTAGGTAGCCTAGGCTACAAAATCAAGGCAGCTGAATGTAAGCCAGGGAGTGAGCAAGTAACAGCAATCCTCCATCATTTCTGCTTTAAGCCACTATCTTAAGTTCCTGCCTTGTACTCCCTTTAGATAGACTATAGCCTCCAGGATGAATTCAGCCTTTCCTCTCCAAGTTTTCTTTTTTTGGTGTGTGTATATCATGGTGTTTATTCCAGCAACAGAAAGCAACTAGAACAGAAGCTTTACACACAGACATTCTGAGACATGTGTGAGCAGGGCTGCCCAGGCCCACTGCAATGGCTGGGTTTGTTTGTTTGTTGCTCTGGACGAGGCTCACCAGACTATTCCAAGTCTCAGTTTGAGGAGCAGCAGGAACTGTGAAGCACCGAAACCCACACACACTGAATGTCTGTCCTTGTCACAGTCCTGTGGACCTGTGTGGTAACCCCATGACAAATGACATGTTACAGCTGGAGACACTGAAGCCACAGGTACTAAGCAGCTCAGGGTTCCTTGGCTACAATGTGGCTCAGGGAGGAGGTGTCATCACTATTCTACCGGGGGAGAGTGGGATAAATGCCAAATTTGCAATCCAGATTTTCTAGGTGGTTCTTCCACTTAGAATACCAAGAAATAGTGTGTATGTCACTTTACATATCCAATACTATACTGTGTCTTTACAAGAGGCAGAGATCACTAGGAAATGATTTAGAAAGTATACCAGCAAACGAAACAAAAAACCAGAGCTGGGCACTGGCTGCTCTTCCAGAGGTCCTGAGTTCTATTCCTAGGAACCACACGGTGGCTCACAACTATTTATGATGTGATCTGCTGCCCTCTTCTGCCATCCAGGTGCACATGCAGATAGAACACTCCAAATAAGTAAATCATAAAAAAAAAAAAAAAAAAAAAAAAAGGGAGTCGGGGGGGCCCAGAGCTAAGCCAGGAAAAGTGGTGCATGTTTATAATCCCAGCACCACTCAGGGAGGCAGAGGCAAGCGGATCTCCATGAGTTCGAGACCAGCCTGGTCTACCAAGCGAGTCCAAGACAGCCAAGGCTACAAAGAAAAACCCTGTCTCGAACTCCCAACGCCCCACCGCTCCCAAATAAGTAGAGCTTTCGCTGCTTTTCTCTGTACTAAACACCATAGATGGTGTGCTCAGACACCGCCCAGCAGCCAGGAACAGAGGCGCCCGGCTGGAAGAGCGCAGTGAGAAGTGTGGGCTGCGCTGTGAGCACTGCTGCCCACGCCTGGAGGACACTTTCTGCTCTTAATAACCTCCCGAGAGAGCTGAAAGGTGTTTAAAATGTTAAAATTTCCATTTATTTATTTTTATTGTAACATTGGGGTTGAACCTAGAACCTTGTGCATTCCAGGCAAACTTCTCCTGAGCTATATCCTAAATCCTTGAGTTTTTTTTTTTTTTTTTTTTTTTTTTTTTTTTTTTTTTTTTTTTTTTTGTTTTTTTTTTTGTTTTTTTTTTTGTTTTTGAGGGGGAGTTGTACAAGGTGTCCTAGGCTGCACTCAAACACACCTTTTTTGCTGCCGGCTCCTGAGTAGAGCAGAGTACCACACACTTGATGGAAGTTTCCAATTAGACACAGAGTTGGCAGGAGTGGTCGGAGCTACAGTGTCTGGGAAGGAGGCTGGCACTGTGCAGGGACCCATTAACAACCGCGACCCTCTGGACTTGAAGCCAATTGCTCTCACTGAGCTCTCTCCACTGTCCCGCATGAGCTTTACAGCTTAGTGCTTGGGGCCATGCATTCTCAGTGAGCCTGTCTGCTGGACATGCTGTTGTACGGTCCAACCAAGACCATCAATGAAAATGGAAGCTTCAAGTCTCCACTGAAGAGCTGGACACTGTATAGACGGTTGCAATCCCTGTGCTCAGGAGGCTGAGGCAGGAGAATCAGCTCAAGACCTAGGCCAGGCTCCAGCACAGAGCAAGACTTTGTCTCCAAACCACAACACATTTGAGCACAACACAGAACCCCTGCTTGGAATGGCGAGTACATTGTCAACACGCACACCGGTCTATGGCGCTCTCTGCGTTGCTGTGCACCACTCTGTGCTCTCTGGCAAGCTACCCAAGCGCTGGCAAAGCTATCTGAATGTCAGGCTTGCCTTGGGGGTCTAGAGTGGAGCCGTCCCAGAGGTAAGGACTGTCAGTTCCAAGAACAGGCCAACGCAGGCTCACTGGAACCACTGTGGTGCTAGATAAATACTTTGGAGAGAAAGTAACATCAAAATGCCTTAGCCAAACAGCACAGAAACCTCAGCCGTGTCTCCTAATAACTGTGGGCAAATCATAAAAGCATAACCTTTAATTAAAAAAAAAAAAAAAAAGGTAAGACAGAGACACACCACACAAGCGGGGCTGAGGAGACCATGTTTTCAGATTTGCCTAGGACCGTCCTGGTTTTGAGAGCTGTTACACTGTGGTTATCGATAGTATATCAGCTTGGATAAAATACTACAGTTGGCCTAAGTAAGTTTCTATAAAAATTCAGTAAATAAAACCAGTAACACAAACTCTAAAAATGTAATAAATAAAATCTTTTAAAGTTGATAAAATACATAGAGAATATGTGAAGCAGAGAGAAGGAATAATATTGGGATAAGGAAACAACAGGCAGGTACATGCAATTTATTCCTTGCATTCCAGTTCTTAGATAAGGTGATGGGTCCATGGAGATCCATTTCATAATTATGCTGCATAAATAGCACACTGCCTGTTTATATATAATATCCTATGTTTATACAATTACATATTTATTTATTAATATTTATAAACATTACCTATTTATAGATAATACATATTTAGTAAAACTATCAAAGAAATAAAATGTAAAATCACCTATGATTTTTAGGGAGAATATGATAAATTATTAAGAAGTTTACTAGCTGTGCAATTCTCATTTTAACAGGCACGTGGAATGTGCTTGCTGGCCACTACCTGTATCAATCACATCAGCAGGAGTTATATCTAGTTCTGTGATAATGGGAAGCTGGGAGAGTTTGAAGAGTTAATGCCAGACAGATGCATGTGGTTAAAGCAATTAAGAACCTCAAGAAAACACACACACACACACACACACACACACACACACACACACACACACA